GAACCCACCACCTTAGGTGTACGTGGCTGGCGCCTTAGCCAGTTGAGCTATAGGCGCTGAGCCTTCATAATAGCTTTGTTCGAGTATAATCCACATACCATGCAACCCACGTGTTTAAAGTATACAATTCAGTGTTTTTAGTATATTCAGAGTTGTACTACCATCCCTGCAGTTTTAGAATTTCATTACTCTCCAAAAATACCACGTGCGTTAGCTGTCGTTTTCCCTCACCTCCCTACAGCTCTAAGCAGCAAGTAATCTAAGTTCTGTAAATGAATTTGCCTACCTAGGATATCTTGTTTTTTTTTTTTTTTTTTAATTTTTTTGTGACAGTCTCACTATGTCGCCCTGGGTAGAGTGATGCATCACAGCTCACAGCAACTTCAAACTCTTGGGCATAAGCAATTCTCTCGCCTCAGCTTCCTGAGTAGCTGGGACTACAGGCATCCACCACAACGCCTAGGTATTTTTTGGTTGTAGTTGTCATTGTTGTTTGGCAGGCCCAGGCTGGACTCGAACCCTCTAGCTCCAGTGTATGTGGTCGGTGTCCTAGCTGCTGAACTACAGGTGCCAAGCCAGGATATCTTGTATTTTAGAATCACTCCATATGTGGTTTTGGTGACTGTCTACTTTTACTTAGCTTACTTTCAAGGTATATTGTGGATAATATTCCATTGTTAGGTATACTTTATTTTCTTTATCCATTACAAGTTAGTGAATATTAGTGAGTTTCCATTTGTTCACTACTGTGAATAATGCTGCTAGAGATAATTTAAAGCATATGGGAGGCTATGCATAAATGATATGCAAATATTACACCATCTTATGTCAGGGAATTGAACATCCTTGGATTTAGGTATCCATGGGGCGTCCTAGAACTAATCCCCTATGGATACCAAGGGACAAATATGCGCACAGAAATTGAGGATCTGGATTCCTTTAAGATTATCTTTACTCATATCCTTCAAAAGTCTTTGTGAACCTTGGAGGTATGCACACCTCAATTTTAGACCACTGATCTAAAAGGATATTGAACTGTGGTTTACAACTCTGAAAAGAGGTCTAACCTGAAAGCAAGAGTTGAGGTTTATGGGAATGAAATATGGGTGTTGTTTGAAGCAGTGAGAGAGCTCAGAAGAGAGGAATTTGGGGCAGGGAGGTGGGGTGATTCTCACTTAAGGAGTAAACAAAGGAAAAAGAGAAGGAAATGGAGAAATCAGAGATATAAGTGGGGAAAATCCCACAGGAATATAAAAGTTGTAAGACATATACAGGTTTTCAGTAAGGACAACCAGCAACGTGGAGTGTGGACAGTTCAGAGAGAAGGAAGCCTGAGTAGCCAGCCATCATGTGGGCCAGTGCAGGGAGGTTACTGCTGCCTATGCAACGGGTCCATCTGGCTTGAATTTAGGTGCAAAATCAGAAGGCACTGATGTGATTCCCCGTCTTTCTCCCTCTGATCCTACCCTGAGTATAGGTACCATCGCTAGCACAGCAAGGTGTCCTCATGCCCACCTGGAATGTTTTCCGTGCTGTCCTCTTTCCTCCTGCGAGCTGGATGGAGTTGAAACCAGGAGTAGTAGGAGTCCCTGGAGGCAGAGGCCTTGTAACAATTTCCTGACCTTTCTTTAGTTGTAAAAGCTTTGGGAAAAAAGATGATTTGGTAAAATGGTAATGGCAAAAGTCAGAATGGAAGTGATAAAAAATTAAAATTGGATGTGTGGTTAGTTGGTTGGGGATGTATCTTTTGAGAAACTTGCCATTGGACCGAAAGGTAGAGGAGAAGGTGGGATTTGAAGCGCTTATTGTTTTTGGAATAAGTGGTCCTAGAACATATTCACAGGAAAGAATTCACAGAAGAGGCTAAAGATATGAGAGAGAAGATACTGGCGAGAACGTACTCTGGAAGGAGGTGGGAGGGCGTGGATGTCCAGCTCAGTAGACTGAGGGGAGGAGGGGCATTTCTGGTCCATTTCAGGGCCAACAGGTCTCTGCAGGGCACTGGGATCTGTGAGTCCGTGGCTCCTTCTGTAACCCTGCAGTCCTTTCTTTATGTGCATGGGCACCATTCGAGAATGCTGGGAGCCTGAAAATGTATGTATTTTTTTCCTCTATGATTTTCTTTTTTCTTTTCTTTCTTCCTTTCTCCCACATTCTCAGGATTCTATGATTTTCTTAGTCTTTTAAATAATAATGGTTTGACCATCTCTGTTTTAATCAGCCTCATCTTGGAGACTTATTTGTCTTTTCTACATGTATTCTCTTATATAGTACTGATTTTTTTTGTCCTCTAGTTCCACTGACATTCCATCTTTATCACCATTTTTTTTTCTTTAACCCTTTAATTTCCATTTCAGTGTAAGCTGCCACTGACAGTGTTCAACATAAGTCAACTTAGATAATTAGGTTTGCACTGTGGAAAAGACAGCTGTCTCAGTATGTTTGGGCTGCTGTAACAGGACACCATAGACTGGGTGGCTTAAGATTTATTTCTCTTGGCTCTAGAGGCTGGCAAGTCCCAGATCAAGGATGTTGGTTGATCTGTGTCTCAGGATTTGGGTTGTAGGGGGCAGTGTTCTCTTTGTACCCTCACATATGGGGAGGAGGGTCCCAGGAGGGCTCTGCTTATCAGAGCACTAATCTCCTGTGACTCCACCTCATGCCCGATCACCTCCCTCAGGCCCCAGCCCTCATGCTCTCACACTGGGGGGTTCAGGCTTCAGGGAGACACATTTAATCTGTAGACTACAGCTGTATTTTCTCATAATGACTAAATTTTATGTTTGGGACTTCTTTTAGGTTTAGCATGAGCTTTAACAGACATAATCTGAAATACTACGTTTTACCGAAAAAGCCTAAAAAGGTGGCATTTGATTGCTTAGAATGGATCAGAAAGTATCACCCATGTGAGTACAGCCATGTGATGAATTATGTTGAGAAGTAATAGGAACTGTCTTTTTAGTACCATGGTTGGATATGTAAAATTGTGTTGTGAGCATTTCTTTTTGCTTTATGACAGCACTGACTTCCTATTTATAGGGGAAAATATTGTGACTCCCTCAGTTCTGGAAATTAAAATCTCATTTGGTTTGATAACAATGAACAGTAACAAAAAATATATAGTATATCAAATACTCCCTCCTACACACCTGTATTTGTAATCTTTAGCTTCAGAGTCTTTCCTCTGGCTAAGGAATGTACATGCATGAGTTACACAGCTTTTTGTTTTAGTGCCTTCTCCTGAGTGCATCTGCCTTTGAGTTATGTTAACTAAAACAAGATTCTGCAGTTCATAGCAATTTTTCATGGAGAATTTTTTTGATAAACATTTTTCTTTTATTTGTTTTTAAGAAGTATTAGTATATGTGTTTGTGTGAACAAGTCTAACAAAACAGAGATCTACCAAGAACACATCAGTGATCACCCTTCTCAGACCACCTCCCCAGGCAGCTAATGTGAATAGATTAATGCGTTTTTCTATACCTCTGTCTCTGCCCCAGAGAGATGACTTTTTCTTATAGATGTCTTTTATTTTCTGGTTTTAAATATAAGCAAAAATATATATACAAAACATGCTCATTAAAGACAATTTTGAAAGCAACAAAAAGAAGATTTTATTTTAGTGATTTAGCTGTCACTTGGGCATTTTAGCCTCTGATGTTGGTATGGATTTTATTTCGGTTAGCTTCTTCCATGTACTATGTTTCTGCGCTTAAGTAACTGCTTTACTTCTTGAGCATTTTCCCATGTCTTTTATTTATTTATTTTGCTAGACACATAGCAATTCTTTATTTATAAGGGAATAAGCATTTTTCCATATATCTGTACTCCATTTGTATGTCTCCTTTTCAGATCTTTTCTTCATTTTTCTTTTTTAAAATTATTTATTAAATCATAACTGCATACATTAATTAAATATGAGATATTTTTCTTAGTAAAGTATCTCAAGAATGGAAAAAAGAGTATCCAATGTATGCAGTACTACTATGAAATCAGTATATAGGGCGGCACCTGTGTCTCAAAGCAGTAGGGTGCCAGCCCCATATGCCAGAGGTGGTGGGTTCAAACTCAGCCCCAGCCAAAAACTGCAAAAAAAAAAAAAAATCAGTATATAATTACCTACACATTCTGTAGGAATGGTAAAACATAACTATAGTCCAGAAAGAAGGAGGGAAGAGGTAGGAAAGGGGAGAGGAGGCAGGAGGGTATTTGGGGGGACCTAACCTAATATGCATAATGCCATGGTACATTTCTAAACTATTAAGAATAGAGTATGAATGTTTTACCACAACAAGTAAGTGAGGAGATGGTTATGTTAATCAGTTAGATGTAAACATTCCCATATCTTTTAAAAAGTTAAACACTTTTTTTGGCTCGGCGCCTGTGGCTCAAGTGGCTAAGGCACCAGCCACATACACCTAAAGTGTTAGGTTCGAATCTAGCCCAGCCCGCCAAACAACAATGACAGCTGCAACCAAAAAAATAGCCGGGCGTTGTGGGTGGGCGCCTGTGGTCCCAGCTACTTGGGAGACTGAGGCAGGAGACTCACTTGAGCCCAGGAGTTGGAGGTTTGCTGTGAGCTTTGATGCCACGGCACTCTACCCAGGGGGACAGCTTAAGGCTCTGTCTCAAAAAAAAAAAAAGTTAAACACTTTTTGATAGTTATAGTATACTTAATTTCACAATTTCCTTTCTTAATTACTTTTCTAATGTTGCCTATTAAAATCTTGCTAATTTTTAAATCCTTGTAAGGGTGAAAAAGGGTGTCTTCCTGTGTTCTAGCCAGGGTGAAATAGAACTCAGGGTTTGTCCTGGTCAACTTCACACATCATTATTAACAGTAGCTGGATTAATAGCCACATTTTATTTCCAAGACATATAAAATCCTTTCTTGAACTATTCTGCCTATGTGGTCTTCTAACACTATCAGAACATTCTGGAAGCCTATTTATTGCTCATATTTTTTTAAGCACATAATGTAAATTGTTTTGTTATTTATGTTAAAAGTCCTTGTCCCTCAATACTGTTCTGGTTTCTTGGCAGATGACTCAGGGATAATTTACTGCCTCTCCAGGAGAGAGTGTGACACAATGGCTGGTACACTGCGGAAAGATGGTCTTGCTGCTCTGGCATATCACGCCGGCCTCAGTGACTCTGAGCGAGATGAGGTGCAGCACAAGTGGATTAACCAGGACGGCTGCCAGGTAGCATTTTTTAAAATAAATGATAGAAATAATCATTTATAGTATGTAAGCGAACAAATACTGTAGAATGCAAATTATTTTTAACCTTAGTGGTAGTTAATGTCAAATAAGACTAAATAACATTATTTTTTCTTGGGATATAATTCACATGCCATAAAATTTACTGTTTCAAAGTATAAAAGTTAGTGGGTTTTAGTGTATTTGCAATATTATACAACCATTACCACTAAATCTAGAACATTCCATCACCCCAAAAGAAAACTCACCCCCAGTAACTTCCCCCAAGCCCCAGTTCCTGCATCCACTAATCTACTAACCACTACTAGTTTATGTCTAGATTTTCCCAGTCTTTTCATTTCATATGAATGAAACCATACAGTATATGATCTTTGTGAGTTTCTTCTTTTACTAAACATAATTTTTCAAGGCTTATTTATATTTTACAGTATCAGCACTTTATAACTTTTTATGGTCAAATAATATGCCATTTTAGGAGGTCTGATATTTAAGTTTGTGAACTTGCCACTGTGAGCTTACTCAGCAGGGTTTCATAATCTGGGTCTGTCAGTGTCTCATGTTGTGTTCCTGGTAACATGTGACAGTGTCTTGCTCAGTGACATTTGTTATTGTTTCGATTTTTGTGTGCTGTTCTGAGAACATCAGAAATTAAGTGGCTAACAAATACTAAATTTCTTGTTCAACTGGCAAGAGGGGCAGCCTCTGGGTTACAGCTCCAGCCTCCACACAGGAGGTTGGTCAAGCCCAAGACAGACCTCGTGAAGCAATTGGTCAAAGAAAAAGTAATGTATGAGAAAGAAACAAAACAAGAAGAAAAAGTGAGAGCTGAAGATGGTGAAAATTATGCCATTAAAAAGCATAGGGAGGGCTCAGCGCCTGTGGCTCAAGTGGCTAAGGCACCAGCCATGTACACCCAAGGTGGCGGGTTCGAATCCAGCCCGGGCCCGCCAAACAACAATGATGGCTGCAACCAAAAAATAGCT